AGACCGGACCAGAGGGTCCAACGATTTAGACCGGACCAGAGGGTCCAACGAGCTAGACCGAACTGGAGGGTCCAACAAGCTACGGGACTGGAGGGTCCCGCTGAGACACATTGAACGGAGGGTCATACCGAGTTATAGCCTCGAGTGGCTTATGTGTAGTGTGTGGTATTTTGGGGAACTCACTAAGCATTTATGCTTACCGTGTTATGTGATATGTGTTTCAGGTACTAGCGAGGATCGGGGGAAGGCGCCGGCATGATTTGTACACATTCACAGAGGATTTTGTAATTGAGATTCTGGGATATGTTTTACTGAGATAACATTGATACTTTTGAGTTTTGAGATGATTTATATGAGATATGTTATGTTTTAAAAATGAAAAATTGTTTTGAAAATTCACGTCGTTACAAGACAGGTACCCTCTCAGGTGTTGCGAAGACGGAGCATAATAGTATTACGTCTTATCTTTTGCTATAGTTTTAATGTAAATCAGACAAAATTTTTGAACACAATGTAAACTTTATATTATTAATACAATGGTTGTTGTTCCTTTGATTACTATTATACAAATGTTGTGATACTGTACATGCCGTCTTCCGCCCCCGAATGTTTCTGCCGTTCCGGTTTGGGGGTGTGACAGCTTATGAAAATCTAAGGGTGGTGATGTATTTCTAAAATAAATTTAACTACTAAATAAATACACAAATTAAAAATAAATCAAAAAGAAATTAATAAGAGTAAAATTGTCTTTTAGTTACTCGCTAACGATTTTAGGGATGAAGCATGTAAGTTTTAAAGTAACAGGGATGATCTGAATTAATTTTTGAAAATAAGAACTAAACTTGCAGTTTGACACCTACACGATGGATGATTCATGTAATTCACATCATATTAACATTGTTGAGAATGAAATTTTAACCTTTTTTATTTAACATTATAGAGAGTATGGTTTTAAAGTACATTACAACAATAACAGAAATTTAAGTAGGGGTGTTGATCGGGTATAATTTTTGGGTTTCAGGTAGATCGGGTATTGTCTAATAAAAAAAATATCCGATACCCGACCTTCGGGTAATCAGTTATAGGTAATTCGGGTATTAGGTCGAGTTTCAGATATTACCAAAAAAAAGTTTTTTTATTTATTTTTTATTTTTATTTGTTTTAATTTGATCATTTATGTTGATTAAATATGTCAATATTGTGTGAATTTGCAGAAGCATAACCAATAATTAAGATGATCAATGTAGAAGAAATTAACAGAGAATAATAAAAAAAATGTTCTTGAATTGTATATATGTTTATGCAAGATAAAGAGAAAATGAAAACTATCAAAACTCTTACGTATATCCCGTTACTACTATTATCCTTTTGATTTGAGCCTTATTTATGAACCACACCATACAATAGAGACTAATTATGTAACTATATTTTATTTTAGCATTGCATTTCAAAAGACTATTTAAGTTTTAAAGAGTTTGCGACTTTTGGTAGTATGACATACATATAATCTTATACTATTAGCATCATACAAAAGTAATCCAAGTTTTAGACGTTCGAACAAAAACAAACAATTTAACCATAATATAGATATATATTGATAAACAAAGATCCAGAAACAAAAGATGATCATTGCAAAAACAAACCTAAAACATACCCATTACTCATTACCTACATAAACCATACCATTTACCAACCACCAAGAACACCCACAAACTATAAACAAAAACCACCGGATTAGTAGTCAGAATCATACCCATACCCATACCCACCATACTCCCCACCATCGCCATTGTCATAGGTTATGAGCTTCTTGCTGTTGTTGTTGTTGTTGTTGTAACTCACATTGCGAACCCTCTGTTCGTTATAAACCTCTGTGTATCCACTCTTATCTCCAATTCTGACTGTGGAACTTTTCTTATACTCACTCTTCGTTCCACTAGTCCCATTCTTCCACTGAAACTCTCCGGCCGACGCCTTCTCCTTAGTGGTTGCTCGGCCGTAGCAACCCGTCTGCTTATCGGCGAAACTGACTCGGGATTTGTTCACGTAACTCCCTTCGCCTCCTCCTTTCCCCCCTTTGAACGTTACAGTTGTTTTCACCGGTGCAGTCGAGATGTACCCGACACAAGCAATCTGTTTTGGGGCGGAGTAGCCGGAAGTTTTTTTCGAACCTTTCGTCATCTTCACTGATCTGTAAGAAAACAGAGTAAAAACATTATGAACAGAGTTTTTGAAATCCGATCATTCGGATGTATATTGAAAAGGAGAACGTGTTCATCATGCAAAAGCCAAAAGTACAGACTACAGAAGGAGAAACGAGGGTTGAATGATGAAGATGAAAAATGAAAGTAGTAAGAAAACAGAGTAAAGACATTATGAACATAGTTTTTGAAATCCGATCATTGGGATGTATATTGAAAAGGAAAAACGTGTTCATCATGCAAAACTACAGAAGGAGAAACGAGTGTTAAAATGATGAAGATGAGAGTAGTACTAGTAAGGACCTTCGTTGATTTATGGTGAATATGAAGAAAAGTAGGAAGGCGTGAGGGGCTATTTGTAGTGAGGTTAGAGAAAGGGACAAATCGTGCAGGAGAAGGAGAAGGCGAGGATTGGCGAGTCGGTTTCCGTAACGGATTCCGTAACGATGTAAATAAATGACATGATCAGGCACGTTTAAGTTAACCCCCCACTACACACCTGTACACACAAATTAGTGAAATTACTGCCACATGTGAAGAAAGATCTATAAAGTAAAAATTGTTGGAATCTTAATTCCTTAATCCCTCCATTCCTGTCTTCCACTCCTAAAAGCTAACACAATTTCTGGAACAAAGTAGGGGACAGTGGTTGGGTCTCTTTACTTGTTTAATATTATAAGCTTACTCCAGCTTATATATATATATATATATATATAT